GCCAAAAATGGTCTGAAGCTCAACATAAAAAAACTAAGATCATGGCCAATGGCCCCATCACCTCCTGGCAAATAGAAGGGGAAGAGATGGAGGCAGTGACAGATTTTACTTTCTTGGGCTCCGTGATCACTGCAGATGGTGACAGCAGCCATGAAATTAAAAGACGCCTGCTTCTTGGGACAAAAGCAATGACAAACCTAGACAGCATCTTAAAAAGCAGAGACATCACCTTGCCGACAAAAATCCACATAGTGAAAGCTATGGTTTTTCCAGTAGCAATGGATGGAAGTGAGAGCTGGACCATAAAAAAGGCTGACCGCTGAAGAATTTATGCTTTTGAACTGTGGTGCTGGAGGAGACTCTTGAGAGTCCCCTGGACTGCAAGGAGAACAAACCTATCAATTCTAAAGGACTGGTCCATGGTGTCACAAAGAGTATGGCATGACATAATGACTAAACAACAAAAAAATCAGGAGAAGGTTGCTTTGTTTTTGCTGTGTGCCATCCAGTCATTTCTGGTGACTCTGATAATTCATGGCAAGAGTCCTATTGGCTCTTGTGTGAGGTTTATGTAAGTTCCTGCAGCTAATTGTGGCTAATCGATGAGGTGCCAGGTGTATCTTAGTTGTGTACCTGGTGATAAACGACTGTGCGTTCCAGATGAACTTCAGTAACATGTCAATTATGCAAATACAAGGTTACGCAAATGTTACATGTACACCAATAGAAATCTGGCCCAGGACCTCCCATTAAGTGCTATTGTTAACAAGCTTCTGCTCAGCTGTAGGAGGCCATTTACACTGACGGAAAGGACCCATGGTGGCCAAAGCCAGCAGTCTGGGAAGACTGGGTTGCTGCTGGGAAGTGTACAAGCCCCTCAGTCTCCTTTTCTGGTGGCCAAGGCAATGCCTGCTACCCTTCGCTTTGGCTGCCACCTCCCACCCCCACTCTCCTTTCCTTCAAAGATGGCCGCCTTCTCCAGTTTTCCTCCCCAGATTTTGTTGGCCGTGAGGATCTGAGCAGACCTAGAGGCAAAGAAGTAACTAGCAATTTTGGCACACAGGGAGTGGCCTCGTCTTCCGCTCACCGAGCCCCAGGGTTGGGCACAAGATGCCCTGCAAACGGAGGAGGAGAATGTGGTGCCCTCACAAATCCATCACCCCAGGCCTCCGCTGCCTGTGGCAACCGTCTCTCCTGGATTAATGGCAGGGCCAGCCTGGCTTGGACTACAACTCCCAGAATTCCTGAGTGCCATGCTATCTAGCTTACTCTGGGCATTGTAGTCCAAACAAAATGGACATTGCCCCATCTCTGGCTGTTTTGGGAGCAAATTATTGATCTCCGTCCTTATAGACCGCTGAGTCTCCGCCTGTTTACAAGAGGCTGATCTATCAGACACCGTTCCCGAGGTCCTCTTTCTCTCACTTGGTGGCAGACTTGATTTTGTGGATGGCATAGGGGCTGGATTCCTTGGGGATCCAGATCTCCTCTCCCTCACCGTGGATCCTCTGGTCGGCGGCTCCCTCCAGGGCCGCCGTCAGCTCTGGTCCAAAGATGTTGTTCGAGTTATGGTAGGTGCAGGTGAGGTGGCGGAAAGAGGAGTCGGAGGAGCTGTCGTCGCGGCTCTCTTCCTCCCGTTCGTCCTGCAACTTGGTCCTCTCCAGCTCCAAGCTCTCGCTCAGCTCGGTGGCTTTGAAGGTCTCCTTCAAGTCCCGCCAGAAGGCCATTTTGGGGGCAAAGAGGAGGAGGAGAAACAACAGCCCTGCTGAAACCCCACACAGGAAATAAAAGCCCACTTTCTCAGGAACACCTGCAAAAGAGGAAGGGTCACCGTCAGGAGATACACAGATGCACTAACACAGACCCACCCACCCTCCCTTGCACTGGGTGGGATGGGAGAAAATGGCCACCACCAGGTCTGGCTCATTTGTTCTTCTCTCTCTAGCTAAGGATAACCTTTCTGTGGTGGTTGCTGGTAATTCCTCAGTTTGAATCACAGACAAGTATCCAGTTCCTGAGAATCTTAGGATGCAATCATACCACTCCAAAGGTATGCATTGGATTGCACCAGAATGGGCCACTTTAATGGGAGATACGATCCAGAAGTGGAGGCTCCAGAACTTTGGCCATCATATAGGAAGAGAAGACTCCCTGGAAAAGACCCTGATGTTGGGAAAGTGTGAAGGCAAGAGGAGAAGGGGACGACAGAGGATGAGATGGTTGGACAGGGTCACCAAAGCAACCAACTTGAATTTGACCCAACTCCAGGAGGCAATAGAAGACAGGAGGGCCTGGCGTGCTCTGGTCCATGGGGTCATGAAGAGTCGGACATGATTTAATGACTAAACAACATCTCATAAAGCAGCTCTTCTATCGATGAATCACTCCAGCTTGGCCCCTAAAAGTGGAAGCCGGAAAGCTGGACCAAAAAGGTTCATCTTGGGCATGGATTGGGGTCAGGCTGCAACACATTTCTCTGTGCCTCAGGGAATGGATTGCATCGGACAGCTCCCATGTGATACCTTTGTTTTGTGGGAGGAGGACATTAAGCAAGTTTCTAGTCCTTAAGACTCCATGAAAAACTATAGGAGCAATGGCTCCCTAAATCTGTAATATGGGAGAGGAGAGGCAGACACCCTTGTAGCTCTTTATCCTGCCTTGGAAGTAGCAGAAGCTGAAGATATCCTGATACGATATGAAAATGCACACAAAATTAAGAAATGTTCCTCCTCACAATATTTAATTTAATATATTTTTCAGCAGGACTGAATATTCAGCCCTATTCTCTACTACCACTGACCCACAGACATATGGCTTCCCATCTGTTTTCCTTCCTGCACACAGAGAGAATATCACCTTCCCACTTTGTGTGTGTGCGCGCACACCCCATGCATACATTCCCATCTGTTTTCCTTCCTGCACACAGAGAGAATATCACTTTCCCACCATGCATACAAATTTTTCACCTCTGCCCTGGATGGTTTTTCAAGGGAAGGAATATGCTTGATCAATATATTATAAAAACTGCACACTGTCAAGTTAATTCTGATGTGGCAATCCTTTCCTAGGTAAAGAATATTCAGAAGTGGTTTACCATTCTCTTCTGGGAGTGCCCTGGGACTGTGCAGCTGGCCCAAGGCCACCCAGGCTGGCTCTTCTCCCAGGAGGCCCAGTGGAGGAATCAAACTCCCAACCTCTGGCTCCACAGCCAGATAGCTAAACCACTGAGCTATCCAGCCAGCTCTTGCTGGATATTGTGGCCACTTACACATCACCAGAAGGAAGAGCTCTCTCACCACAGGAGAGGAGAGCAATTTGTAAATTTTGCATATGATACTTTCTATGTTCAGACAAAAAATTATAAACAATTCTAGAATTTCAAAGGAATTAGGGCACATCTTATTCAAGGGGGAAATTGCTACCAGGTGGCTTTTGTTCGTGTTGCATCTACTGTCCAGGTGCTCACTGTGGATGGGTAATTTCAAGGTCCCAGATCTCTCTCTCTCACACACACACAAACACACACTTCCTCTGGACAGCCCTTCCAATAGACACCACCATCGAAAAGAGGACTGCTTTCTAAAATGCTGTCACAGGACTACCTTTTGTAAAACTGGTTATGTTGCCACCCAAACCTTGGGTTGATTCAACCCTTGGGCCTCCTTTTTTAAGATCTACAGCAGCATCTCCTATCCTAGGTCAAGTTACCATTGCCATCTTCCACCATGAGAAGTCAGGGTGGGGAGACACAGAAACGGCCAGAAAAAATACAACCGAAAGGCTGAAAGTTGGGCTGGGCTGCTCTTGAGTAGGGAAGGGAAGAAGCATCCATCCTAAGGGCTAAAACAAATTAGATCCAAAACTCAATTTCTGTATTACATTTTTTTTAAAATCCCAACTGTTGAGCCACTTCTGAAGGCTCTAATTTTGATTAGATTGGGATATGTAGGGGACAGCTCACCCACTTTGGGAAGTAGCCCCATCTGTTCCCGCAGATTTTGGAAGAGTTAGCTGTTGGACTACATTTCCCAGCATCCGTCACCCAGCATGGCCACACTGGGAAGGGCTTCTGGGCATCGTAGTCCAACACCAGAAAGGAGCACTGGGATCTCCGTGTGGTTGTCCAGAACCCCTTCAGCCCTTGGGCCCGAAGGGGTTCTTTTTCCACTCAACTACAGGTAGAATCCTGTGGAATCGTCCTGTTGAAGACCAAAAGCACCTTCCACACAAGCATGTGAATGAACAAGGGAACAAGGGGACCCTGACCAGGTGGCCATCTTAGCAACAGGCCTCCCTCTCCCAACACCCACCACGGCCTGTCTTGCACAGCCAGGGAAGTCACACGTACCCCAGATGTGGGCAAAAGTCTCCAGGGAGTTAGTAAATATCATCAGATTTTCTTGCAGCCTGGACTGCGTCGGCCCAGTGTACCAGCCACCTGCAGCAAACAAGGGGGACAGCAACGCCATCTTACTGACAAGGGTTCAAGAGTCAGAAGTGTCCCTCTTTTCAGGGATTTTAAGGTGGATCGTTTAGGGATGGGAACACAGCTTGGAGGCAAGGCTAAAAGGGAGGGGTGCACTCCAGCAAACGTCCTACTCTTCTTGAGCACATCCGTACCTCCTGCATGATTCTCAGAGGTTCCCCCAGACTACTTCCCTGCGGGCATTCAGCCCCTGAGCCTGCTGTGGAGAGGGATGAACTGCCCTCTTTAGCCTGCGTGTTGCAAGGATGTGTGTGGGAGGAGCCCGTCAATTACTCTAGAACGTTGCCTACAAGGAAGGATAAAAACAGAGAATTAATTACCATGTGTGTAGTCGGAGAGGGAGAACGGGTCTGCCTGCGAGTCACGACCCACCTCTTCCAGCAGTTGCCTTGGCACTAAAAAAGGAGAGAAAGGTGGAGTCGATGGTGACATGTAGGTGACAATCATCAAAGTCTTGCTGTTGTCTTCCATGGGGGTCAATGCCTGTTCTATGGTCACAGCATAAAGGCTGATATAAATACCACGATACAGCCACGGCCACCTCCTCCTCTTCCATGCAGGAAGCTGTTTATAGGTGGCCACCTGCCTCTTTGATCCGTTTGTGCTGTCAAATGGCTAATACATGTTGCAGTGGAATGGGAACCAGTAATTGTTAGCTCTCCTTTTTAAAAAAAAACTGAAAAGCACCTTGCGTCTACATGGTGATCAGTTTCAGGAAGCTAGCTAGCACTTGCCCAGAATTCTGTTTGCTTGAAAAGATAAGTGTGGACTTAGGATATTCCTGTGACAACATAAATCAGCTTAATCTGGCTATGCAAGAAGGGTTCACAACATTAAGGTCTCCGGCTGCAGAGCAAAGGGTTGGGAGTTCGATTCCCCACTGGGCCTCCTGGACAGAGGCTTGACTCAATGATCCGTGGGATTGTTATTAGTATTATTATTAGTTTTATTTGTATGCCACATTTCTCCCAACAAAAGGCCCCAAGGCAGCTTACAGCATTAAAACTCACACAGTTAAAACACCATAAGTTAATTATTAAAGACAAATTAAACAATATGTAATTTAAAATAAAATTAAAAGATTAAAACATGGGTTCTTTCCCGTTCTGCAGTTCTAAAATGATGATGATTAATAGTCTAGGAGATTTCTTCACTATCAAATGGCAAAGAATGGATTTTGAAGGTTGGTTGGTTGGTTGGTTGGTTGGTTGGTTGGTTGGTTGGTTGGTTGGTTGGTTGGTTGGTTGGTTGGTTGGTTGGTTGGTTGGTTGGTTGGTTGGTTGGTTGGTTGGTTGGTTGGTTGGTTGGTTGGTTGGTTGGTTGGTTGGTTGGTTGGTTGGTTGGTTGGTTGGTTGGTTGGTTGGTTGGTTGGTTGGTTGGTTGGTTGGTTGGTTGGTTGGTTGGTTGGTTGGTTGGTTGGTTGGTTGGTTGGTTGGTTGGTTGGTTGGTTGGTTGGTTGGTTGGTTGGTTGGTTGGTTGGTTGGTTGGTTGGTTGGTTGGTTGGTTGGTTAGTTGTGCTTAGTTGCATTTAGTTAGAAATAGTTCTGCTTTTGAACGACAACTCTGAGAATGCCTTGACCAAAGTATCAATGCCATTTGGGGGATTCTGGGAATTGTAGTCCAAAAATGTAGCTTTACCAGGCTGTGAATCTACAGTTCCATTAGATTTCCTGCAGAAAGCAACATTAATTCTGTTTCTTTCACAGAGCCAGTTCCCATACAGATGGACACACACACATACACACACAGAGGTACCAATTTGATTCTCTTATTGAGCCCATTGATATCAGGCTGGAGGTTTTGATGGGAGATGTAGTCCAACACTTTCAGAGAGTCCCAAGAATGCCCCTGGATGCAAGCTACTAAGGATCAGGGTCCCAAGAATGTCCCTGGATTCAAGCTACTAAGAATCAGAAATACCAAATTCATTCAAAAATTGCTAATTCGTCAATTTGTATTCATATGAACCAATTAATTTTTACTGATTTTTGATTCATTGATTTCTTCGGCTATAAAACAGTCCCCCAGGGACCTAGATACACCTAAATTGCAGGGAAGCTTCCGCTGATGCTTCTCTACAATTCCTCCATATTTGGTAAAGATGGGGTTTCACATGTGCAAGCCATATGCCCACAAAGAAGCCCCCCCAGGAAAGCCACCCCAAGGACCTAAAGACACCAAAATCACAGAGAAACTTCTACTGACTCTCTTCTAATATCCAAGTTTGGTGAAGACTGGGCTTCCCCAAGCCAACTACTAAAGGGCACATTCCTGGGGAAAGTGTCAGAGACCCAAACTTCAATAAGCTTGCAGGGCTTGTAGAGGAGAGTCAGGAAAAGCTTCCCTGAAAAATTGGTGTTTCTAGGAGCTTTTGGGGGGGGGGGATATCATAGGGTTGTAAAGATGAAAATGAATTGACAAATTGATTCTTCGATTCATCAGGAAAAAAATCATAAATTTGTAATTTGTGATTTGCCAACCCTGACAAATCACAAATATAAACGAATCACCATTTTCCTGATTCGTGCCCATCTCTACTGAAGAGTAACAATGGGTTGGAGTAGCAAAGGCTATTGCTTTCATGATTTAGAGGAGATTTCTGCCCACTATCAGTGGAAATAGGAGCAGCTTCTCTGATATAGATAGCATGGATTTTCCGTTTTTTATATAGGCAGGTGGAAGCATTATGTAGGCTTTTAAAGCAAGATTTTGCCCGTTCTCTTGGGCATCGTGAGAGAGGATCCAAGGCTGACTTTTGATCAGCAAAGTCAACCCCTGTTGAGTAAACACAGTCTTGCATGCTTTTCCTCTCATGGTGGGTGTCTGTGAAGAGCCTGCTTGGTATCTGCCACTAAATTTGGAGGGTTTTTTTCAGAGTCCTTGAATCTGCCTCTTCCTGCCTACTCGCAAACAGGTGTTTTCGGGACCTAAGCTTCGTAAAGCGGCTTTCCTATGGCCGATCTTTGCTAGACAATGACGATTCTTCCCCATTGGAATGCATTAAACAGGCTTCATTGCATTCCAATGGGGAAATGCTTTTCGCTAGACAATGATTTCGCTAAACAGAGATTTGAGTGGAACGGATTATCATCATCTAGCGAGGCACCACTGTAACTAAATTCCAGATGCCTCCAACCATGTTCTCTATCCCCATCACTACAACGCCAGCTTCTCCATTCCCTCTGTAGGGGCAGATAGAGCTCAAAAGAACTATCTGAATTATTGGGCTCTCTTTGGGATCTGGCTATGAGGATGGTCACAATCAATATTTCTTCTCCTCCCGCCCTGCCTCCTATTCTTTTCTCCGTGCTGGCATTCAAGACAAACACAAATACCGCTGGGCTCCAAGGCGACTCACCACAGGTGTAGGAAACTCTCAGTTGCTTTTTGACGCCAGGGAAGCAGGGGTCACCAAAAGTGGCTTTATTAGCCACAACAGTGCAGTTTTCCTTTCTGTGGCACTTCCGGGAGACTCTTCTCAAGGCATCGGGAGCGAGACATTCTATAATGCAGAAAGAAGCAGGGTCAGCCCCTCGTAAAGAGCAGGGTGGAAATGCCTGCAAGCGGATCTGGGCCCCCGTTTAGCGGTGAAGATATCAAACAGGCAGCAATTCCGCATTGTGTATTTCTTGGTGCCGGTTCATGGATGGCCTGTGAAATGGGACTAAGGGCGAACCTCGAAGAAGCATTAGGAGGTTGGATCTGCAATCTCGAAAGTGGTTTTATTTTTAATCCATTTTGTTACATTTTCAAGCTCAAAACTATCACCCAAGCAAACAAAAACAACAGAGACAAACATTTGAAAAGACAAGCACAAGAGGGCAACACAAACAAATACACGAGGAAAGTCTTCACCACATTTTCCCCTGTGGTTTTTTAAACCCCTCAACAACCCTGATATGTAACAGCAATGGCACTATCAGAGTGTGGTGATTTTTAAATTTATTTATTTGCATCACAGCTCCAAGGACTGTGGCCATGCTGCCTGGCTGCCTAGGGTATTTTGCAGCTGCAGGTTTTTTAGAATAAAATTTCCAAGCCCTTATGAAGATTCGTGGGGCAAACCTTTGCATTCCCACGAGGGGCCCTGATCTTCCTTGAAGCCCGTCTAGCTTTTTGACCAGATATTTTTAAAAGTGCTTCCTCTAAGGGGAATCGCCGGGGCTAAAGCATTGTGAGAGGGTGGCCTGTGGGGATTTTGTAGTTCTGGCTGCCTGGGGTATTTTGCAGCTGCAGGTTTTTTAGAATAAAATTTCCAAGCTTTATGAAGATTCATGGGGCAAACCTTTGCATTCCCACGAGGGGCCCTGATCTTCCTTGAAGCCCGTCTAGCTTTTTGACCAGATATTTTTAAAAGTGCCTCCTCTAAGGGGAATCCTCGGGGCTAAAGCATTGTGAGAGGGCGGCCAGGCATTTATTTTTATTTTTATTTTTTTTCCTAGCTCCCCACAATGCCCTGGGCCTGAGGATCCCCCTTCAGAGCCATGGATTTTTTTGAATAGGTGGCTGAGAAGCAGCTGAGCTAAAGAGGCATCATGGAGAAAGGAAGGACAATTTTGGGGCAGCTGCTCCTACTCTGCTTCAGTCGCGGTGCAACCCCCACGTCTGTCATCACCCCTGCTGTCTTCATCGCATCCTCTTCCTTCTCTGGGTAAAAGCACTCAAGGGGAATTGGGGGAGACAGTAGACGACCCCCATACAATTGGGGTGGGAGAGCGATGGCTCCGTCCGCAGGAGAGTTGGCCGCCACCCTTAGTTTTTCCATCATCGGTAACAGTTCTAAGGCCCCTCTCCCAAACCGCGGCTGTCCATCTGGACTGGCCCAAATGGCAGGAATCACAAACAAGACAAAGAGGCCAAATGTTTGCAAAGGAGGGAGGGCAAAGCAGGAAAAGGCAGTGGCGGTTCAAGCCCCAGCATCCCTTCAGATGGGGAACACCAGTCCCTCTCCCCCTCCTTCATACCTATGTTGGGTTCTGTCCTGTTCACAGGATTGCACTCCGGCTTTCCCCTCAAAGGTCTCCCATAGATTGCAGAGTAAATAGCAAGGACCGACTTGTTTCGACACTGCAGTCTGAGTTTCTCGTTCTCGCACACGGTCTTGAGGCGGTGGTTGGCTGGGAATGAACACAAGCCAGGTCAACTCACTCAAGTATTCTGGCCATTGGCAGTCCACCAACCACCAACCCAGATTAGGTTCCACTTCTGTAATGCACCTCTGGATCAACCTTTAAAGCAAACTCTCCCAATGCAGCATACAATAATGGTGAAAGTCACAACAAATCATGTTTGCTTTTTGATTGATTGATTGATTGATTGATTGATTGATTGATTGATTGATTGATTGATTGATTGATTGATTGACTGACTGACTGACTGACTGACTGACTGACTGACTGATTGATTGATTGATTGATTGATTGATTGATTGATTGATTGTTTGATTGATTGGCTACCTCATCTTTCTCCTTAAAGAGAACAGCTTAAATCATAAAAACAAAATTTTTAAAGCTAACAACTGTTAAGTATAAAAATATCAAGCAAATACCACACCAAAAAAATAAAAGTAACACCAAAAAGACATTCAAAGCAGTAAGATACAACAATCCATTTTGTGGCATACAGCCAGTGACTAAGTAACAATTACAAGAAGAACAGGAGCAATTAAAGCCAGATAGTTCCATCTGCACAATAGCTGCACTAAGTGTCATAGTTAGAATAATAATAATTATGTGCCATCAAGTCGATTCTGACTTAAGGTGACCCTCTTCAAGGTTTTCTAGGTATAGAGAACTCAGAAGTGGTTTACTGTTTCCTTCCTCTAAGGATGCTCTGGGCTCTTCTGTGATGCATAGTGGAGAATTAGCTACCTGGCCAGCACATCCTAGTTATAGGCATGTGAAATAGAGAGGTCCTTGGGTCCCATTTTAGGGCCTGCAAGAATGGGGCTTGGGAAACCTGAATTATATAATTTCGCAAGCAGGGAGAAGCCACTAGGTAGAAAGCCCTGTTTCTCCAGTCTACCAGCCCACTTGATTTCTGCAAACGGGCACACAAGGAGACAGAGCGTGGAAATGTTACTTTCAAGGATGACAGCTTCCAGGCTGGCCAGGGAATTCTGGAGGAGGTCATCCCCCAAAGTAACTTTTTCAAGCTCTCCAGGTAGGGCATCAACAGGACTATCAGCAACAGCTCCTGGCAGTCAGGAATTAGAGTCTTATTAACACCTTGAGCTCACTCACCTGGCCTGCATTTATATGAAACCACCAGGTACTTGTGCGTCCCTGGACATGGATCAGGCCCAAACACCCGGCTGTGGACAGAGAAGTGACACCATCGCTGATCCTGACACTCGTCCACCATTTTCTGCAGGAGGAGAACAGGCTTTCAGTTCAAGCAGACTTAGATCCTCTATTTGGTGCTTGGGTAGACTATAATCAGAAAGTTTAATAATGTCTACTCTTTAAAGGGGAAGGGGCCTGATGTGGTATAATTTAGAATTTTTGGTTAAATTCCTCTGTGAAGTGCAGGAATTCACAGAGCAGGAAAGCTTCAATTTCCCTAGATTAGTCCACCCCTCCTTTCTCACTAACTGGCACTTACAATCTCAATAGCTAACTCTGAGTAACTAGTAGTAGAAAGAATAAAATGTTTCATTACTTACAATCAAACGTATCAAACAGCAAACTAACATGACTGCTTTCAACAACAGATGTCAACAGACTAACTCCAAGCAGACAACACGGGTGGGGGTGAGAAGCACTGAACACAAAGAAGGGTCTCTCTTTGATTTGAGAAGCAGGAAAGAAATTATTGGTTCGATTGACAGTCATCCTAGCTCAGAAAGATCCTTTCCAGCCAAACCTATGAGAGGCAGCATACGAGATTGCAAAAACTCCCAACAGCTGAAAGTTTAGGAGATATGCATCCACTCCGTAGAACAATGTGGCCAACAGGTTGGTGAGAACCTAGTGCTAGATACAGAGCTTGGAAATGTTATTTTTTGGGGACTAGAGTTCCCAGAACCCTCCCCCCACCAGCTATGCGTTGAGTGACTTGCAGGGATTTGCAAGAATTTCTGCTATTCTTTAACAAGAAAGCCATCAGAATTCTCCCTCTCTCTGACACATGCATGCAAACGCCACTGAAATAAATAAAAGTTTTGGAAAATTATGAATAGATTTTGTGACACATGCATGCAAACGCCACTGAAATAAAGAAAAGTTTTAGAAAACTAGGAATAGATTTTGTGTGTGTGTGTGTTGTGAGAGAGAAAAGGCCAAGAGTTCTGTTCTACTAAAAACAAGTCCCTGATCTTGAGATAAGCTGGAGCCTCACCCTTCCTTAATTCCAAGTGTCTGTCTGCCCCCCTGAGCCAGTATATGAACACTGGCCTTGGGGCCAGTGGATCACACAGATGTTGTGGAGAAAAAACAACCACAGAAAAGTGAGGGACCCACAAACCTAATGGGCCTTAGGAACCCAAGCAAGGCCATTTCAAGCCTTTCAGGATGCAAAATGCATTGCAGGAAACGGTAGATGTGAGGCCAACTGAACAAGCTGTGTTTATTGCCCCTGCTGCTGACCACTGTTTGCCCAGTTATGCACAACCCATCACACGATCTATTGCACCACCAGGGAGAATTGGGCATGCAATGAAGAATACCTTCCACCACTTGCGCATTTAGTACCCAGTGTGGTGCAGTGGACAGAGTGACTGATTATGACTCTAGAATAAGGCAAAGGTAAAGGTTCCCCTTGACATTTAGTCCAGCCGTGTCCAACTCTAGGGCGTGGTGCTCATCCCCATTTCCAAGCCATAGAGCCAGCGTTTGTCCGAAGACACTTTCCGTGGTCACGTGGCCAGCATCACTAGACACAGAATGACATTACCATCCCACCAAGGTGGTACCTATTTATCTACTCGCATTTACATGCTTCCAGACTGCTAGGCTGGCGAGGAGCTGGGACAAGCGACAGGGGCTTGCTCCATCACCTGGATTCGATCTTATGACTGCAGGTCTTCTGACCCTGCAGCACAGAGGCTTCTGTGGTTTAACCTGCAGCAGCACCACGTCCCTAACTCTAGAGACCAGGGTTAAAATCCTCAGGCTTCCTAAATCCTACTTAATCACTCTATCCATTATGCCACCCTGGTCACATTGATACTGATAGGGGAGTCCTTCAAGTTTAAAACCAGTGCCCAAGTGCATCTCTCCAGCTAGACACTCAGCGAAGCTGTGTGTCTTCCAAAGGCCATTGGGACGCTCCCTTCATTTTCTTGGCCCACTACGCCTGGGGCCACAGTGGGCAAAGGACCTCGCCATCCACAAGGGAGGGCATTTGCCACCAGCAGCATTTACTTATTTTGCCCTCCAGCTTTTTCTGTCCAAACAGACATTTGAACAGTTCTAAGGCAAGATACACACATGTTCTATGGCTTGTAACTGATCCCAATGTGAAAAATAAAATGAATAAATCAAGTTATTATAGAACTCTCAACCCTGCTCAAGGCTCACCATTTCTCCCCCACCCCATCAAAGATGCTCCATGGCGATGCTCCTTAAATAGTCACTAGTGTTTCAAAGATGAAGGCAGTGGTTCTACAACATGTAAAACTTTTTGTTTCTGGAAAATCCTGATAAATTGTTGCTGTTATAATGGTGATGGCAGTGCCAGCCAAAAATATAATACCCAGCACAGTCTTAACGACTGTGTTCCACCTCCTACACTTTTTCTTTCTAATCTCCCTCATCCCTTTAGTGTCTCTTGTGTTCTATATTAATGCCACCAAGTTCTGAGTTCCGAAGATGTTCCTCCCACTCTTTGTACATATTTAAATGTCATTGAATGTGAGGTTAAGGCTCACATCCAGATAAAACACACAGGTGCGTTGTAGCAAGACATGCTGTGTGCGTGCAGGATGGTGAACGATCCAGAAACCCACCCTCTAAGGAAGAGATGAAGGAGCTGGATATGTTTGGCCTGGAGAAAAGAAGACCGAGGAGTGACGTGGACGCCATTTTCAATGATATGAATTGCTGTCACCTTGCTTTCCAGAGTCCAGAGGGCAGGACAAGAAGTAATGAATTCAAGTTACAAGACAGGATTTCATCTGAATGTTAGAAGGAATTTTTTTTTAATTATAAGAGCAGTGGAATAGATTAGGGGGACCTCTCCTTCACTGGGGGATTTCATACAGTGTGTGATCTTCTGCTTCAGCCAAGTGTTGGTTCAGTTATCGATGGGGTTCCTCCCAGCTCTGCAAGTCTGTGTTTATGCTCATAAACGACATTGCTTTGATCCTTCTTAGAAGGAAAACCCTGCAGACACCAGATGTGGTCCTCCAGATGTGTTAGACCCACCATCCTCAGCCAGAAAATTAGCCCAGAAGAACAGAGTCTGAGGTTCATACAGTCCCCAACTTCTTCTAGAATAAATGCAAGTTCTTGTTTATCTCAGTGGTTCCAACTCTTGGCTACCCAGCAATTCCCAGGACCCTTCACCACCGGCTGTGCTGGCCAGGGTTTCTGGGGGCTGCAGTCCAAGAACACCTGGGGACCCGAGGTTGGGAGCCACTGGTTTATCTAGACTTGATAAAACTATGATTAACTTTAGCATCAGTTGGTTTGAAAGCAAACACTTTCAAAGCAGGGTTCTCATGCTTGTCGTTCCATTAGTTTAGCCAACATCAGTTGGTTCAGTTGTAAAGCGAGAGCCAGTATAATTTAGTAGACAGGGTGTCAAACTGAGATTCAGAAGACTTGGGTTTAAAACGGCACATGGCCATGGAATCTCACTGAAGATAAAGATAAAGGCAAAGATGAACAAGTCCCCAAACCTCTCTCAGGGAGATAACTTGTCAGGATCACCATAGGCTGGAAGTCAATAGGTAGCACATAGCAACAACTCCATTGCCTCCAGCTTCCAGGATGCATTTCTTAGGTGGCAAGATTCTAAGAATTTGACTCCCCCAAAGTCATTGCCACACGTTCTGCCCTGTACTTCACGAGAGGCTTCTTACCTGATGCGCGGTGGCAGACATACAATTGGTGCTCTCCGAGGAGGCGCCTCCCGAGGTGGGGCAGAGATTTTGACTGGGCACCCGACGCCCATAGAAGGCGGAGAGAACCGCAACGGTGGTCTTGTGGGGGCAGAGGATCGTCAGCTGCTCCCCATCACAAGCGTGGGCTGTGTGGTTCTTCAAGACCTTTTGCAAGTAACCTGAGGAGCAGGGAGGAGACGATGAAGAGATTTCAGGAATTTGAGCAGACCATTGTGCTAAGGATTAGAAACGTAACCAAATCCAAAACAGGACAACAGTGATATACAACGATAACAACGGTTGTGCTTATATAAACACACACACACTTGTACTGATCATGGTATATGGATGAAAGTTCTTATTTATCTCAGTGGTTCCAAGTCTTGGCTATCCAGAAATCCCCTGGACCCTTCACCACCAGCTGTGTTTTACCGATCAGGCTTAACTGACAGAGGGTTCCAGCTAGATAATATTTGCTCTTATTTATTGCTATCTGTCCAGTTGTCTTCATGTTCCTTCCCTTCTTGGAATTCATTTTGTGTTTTGGAATACCTTGTGCTACCAGTATCTAGAATCCAGTGCATCCTGGGTGTGCCTGGAGCCTTTTTATGATGCAAGAGAACTTTATATCTTCCCAAGAAGTCCTAAGTACCCCCCAGGCTCATAGCAGAACCTCACTGGATCCCTGCCAGTTCCTGATCCGTTCTAGCAGAGTTTCATCTTGAATGGTGCCACCAGTAGAGGAGTTTGATGTATCACATATACCCTAAAGCACAGCCTCCTATTGAGTTTCTGCGGAGCAGAGGATCTTACCGCTGTAATAACTGCACCATTTGTGCAGATGTTCTTGTTGGCAAGCAAAGGGTGGGGTTTCTTTATGAACATCCCGGCTTGCAAAGTGGCAACAGCTGCAGGAACGGTGTGGCCCCATTTAATGATACTGATGGGGTTATCCACTCAGTGGAAACCAGGACTGTCCAATATCATTACACTTAACAATATCTACAATTAAGAAAAGGAGTATGGCAACCAGAGGCTGCTTCAGCTAATATACAACTTGATAATCAAGAGAGGACCTGAGAAAGCTTAGCAATTATCATTGTGAGGTGGCAGTACTGTACTTTTTCAATCATAGCTGCCTTTCTCTCTGGAGATTGAGCTTCAGAGCATTGCAGTCCAGGGAGCAGCTTGAATTCTGGCACACTTGGTGTGGTCTAAAACCCTTAAATCTGATGTGCTGTAGTGGCTAAACTGCACTATGGCAATCAAGACTCTGCTCATCATGACCTGATGGTGGTCTTGGTGGGCTCAGGTAGGGTTTGAGATTGATTCACCCTTCCATCCTTCCAAGGGCAATACCCAGCTTGCTCTGTGTGTGTGTGTGTGTGTGTGTGTGTGTATGTGTGCAGCCTGCATAATTAAATTATAAACCATCCAGAGTGTGCATTAAGCACTATGGAACGGCACATAAGCAGCACATTTTGCTTTGCTTTTGGTTTTGACAATAAGAAGCTTGGAGCAGGAAAACACAGACATGAAAATTAAGAGAATCTGATCTCCTTCCAAGATCCCCGCCAGCTCTGCATTCGTTTCGTTCTTAAAATAATAACAACAAAAGCATCCCGAACTTTTAGAGGTGTGGAGCCACTGGTAAAAATGAACGCACAATGAAAGATCCTGAGCTGCCCTTTCTGCCTTAGCGAGTTTGCTTTGCCTCTTTGTGCAAAACAGAAAGATCAAAAGTTCTTGGGTGGACCGTTCGTGGAAGTCATTCCCCATCCTTGGCCGCCACTTGTTCAGAGACAGTGGTTGCAACAAGACAAGATGTGGAGAAAGACACCTTCCTCTTCCCTGTTTGAGTTCATCTTCCCCACTCACCTGAAAACTCCGGAGCTGCCTCCAGGAAAGCTGAAAAGCACAAGAAGCCCAGGGTGATCCGGACAATCTGAAGCCAACTCATCCACCGAGAGCCAGGCATTGCATCTTACGCTTAATCCTAGTATTTCTGTTAGTGTTTTGGTTCCAGTCCTGTTCTAACTCCAGCTCGGTTGCTAATTTTCCTCCCTTTCTGCTGCTGGAACTCAAATGCTCCTATTGTTCATTAACAATGAGTTGGTTCTTTGCACTGCCAGCACGTAGAGGGGAAGAGAAGGGTGTGCATGTGTGTGCGGTTAGTAAACCAAAGAAGGACCAACAACTCCACTTGGTTCTGGCCTTAGACTTCTTCATGCCTGGACTTAACAATATCAGAACAATTCCCACCCACCTAGGAAAGTCGGGCTGCTTGTGGAATCTTCCACTTGAGTGAATCCGTGTTTTGGTGACAAAATTGCATTTTTGGATGGGAGATGCATTCGGTCTTTATGTGGACCGAATGGGGTACAGCACTGGGAAAAGTGGGTTGTTGGTTTTTCTACTGGAACTTCCAGATGCCATGAACATATGCCATCGTTGCTGGAGGATTCTGGGAGACGTAGTTCAAAAATCTTTTCTGAACTACAGCTGCCAGAATCTTCTGACCAGCATGGGAAAATAGCTCTGCTGACCAGGGGGCTTTGACAGTTGTTACTATTGGGGTTTTTGCAACTTTGCATTCTGCCTTGTGCAGCTTTGACTAGGAGGGGGCTTTTTGGGGTGGGAGGACTGTCTATCTATCCAGCACTAACCAATTGTTCCTTCCCCAACCTTTGAATTCAAAGAGAGACCCGCCTCTTTGCTCTGTGTCTTTTTTTCTCTTTTATTCTGTCTGATGAAGCACTCATCAGTCTGTTGAAGTCTGTCGTTGAAAGCAGCCACGTATGTCCGTTTGCTGTTTGATCTGTTCAACTGTAAGTAATGAAAATTTCTAATTTTTTTTCTCTCACAAATGTCTCAGAGCGAGTTATTAAGATCGTTAAGTACCAGCTAAAAAGAAAAAAAGGGTAGCCTGCTCTGGGGAGCTTGAAGACATTCTACTTAGTGAATCCCTGCTGTTCTGCTCTGCAGCTAGAGGAATTTAACCAAAAATTCAAAACTCTACAATAGCTGCAACACAAAGAAGTAAATTTTCCAGTTTCTGGGTCAGTGGATCAGTTACATATTTTGGAAGACAGCCTGCTGTTTGCCACCATGGATGTAGAACTTATTTGTAAGGAAATAAAAACCACCCAAAAACATCTCCAGTGTTCTCTTGTCCACAGGAAACAAAACAGAGGTCTGGCTACCCCTGAACTTCTAACCAACTGCAAAGGGCCCAATAATATCCTTATAGAACATCTTAGTCAATCGGATTCATTACTTAAGGTAGTAAACTGTTCTTTGTATGTAGCCAGTTGTCACCAACTTTTTCCTGATATAGAGTGTTCACACTTCAAGAGGACTCCTTGCAGGCTTTTCATAGATCTGGCAGACGACAGACAGAAGTGTAATGTGTGCAGAGGGTCCCCACGTGTGTCGGTGAAGCTTCGCCGATTACAATATTACACTATTACATTCCGAACGGCTGCTTAGCACATAGCTGTGAAAAGCACAGGCCCCCATGCCCAGATCTAGGGTAACTCATAAAATACCTGCCTCACGAAATGTACTAGGTGCAATTATTGGAATTTCTGGCTAAGTCTGGAAAGGGTCCTTGCTTGAAATGCTGCAGAGTTACTGCCGGTTGGCATAGAAACCCCACTGAGCTAGACAGATCAGCCTTCTGGGTCTGTTTAAGGCAGCTTCTTGTGAGCCTAGGCAATTCCTGTTTCGAGTAAGGGCCGTAGTTCAAGGGCTGAACACCTGCTTTTCATGCAGAAGGTCGGGACTTGACCTCCAGTGCCTTGAAGCAGGACTTGGAAAAAAAATGTATTTGAAATTGAAGAGGGTCCCTGCCAGCCAAGAAACACAAGACAATACCCAAGCAAGATGAATCAATTATAATCTGTTAATATAGAACCAACTCCTGCGTTATTTTTAAAAGGAGGCAGTTTCCGATGGGCTTTTTCTTAACCTGGCTTTCTCCAGATGTCTAGGGCTGTAACCCCAAATGTACGACTATAAACCATTCCCAGCCAGCATGGTGGGAGTTATAACCCAGTGCATTTGGGGGGCATGAGGCTGGAGAAGCCTCTTCCAGATCCCGGGTTCTCCATCTTTCTTCACTTGCCCACCCCTTGGCATCCCATGCCCACAAATTGTACCATTCCTATTAGCAAAATGTTTGTCACAAATATGGTTGCTGTTATTTCAAATGGGCGTGTTGTAGCTGTAAATAAATAGCCCAATAATGGGGCTAAAAAGCAATGGGATGATAAGGTGAACAGACTGTGATTATATATTTGCATTAAAAACTTGAGAGATGCATTACATTCAAGTAAATACATCAGAGAAGACCCAGAACTTGGTCACTGGATGCTGTTCACAGGACTGACTGAGGGGGGCCCTTAATATATACACCACTAATGGTATGACAGCACTCAAATGTTTGTGAGTGAAAGCTGAGCCTATGAGAGGTGCAGTGCTGAGCATGCGCACTGTAGTGATGTGTCTGCAACACATGGTTTGGCAGGGATGTTCGCAAGTCCCAAGTCTGGACTTTGGCACCAAGTCCCAAGTCCCTCTTAAAAGTAAGCATTTCCCCCCAGAAAAAAGAGAGGGGTGGGTTCCAACTCATACCCCAAGTTGCAAATCCCTGTTCTAGAACCATCCGCCTAACCAGAGCCTGAAAGGATTCTGCTGTTGATAGCATCTCCCGGGCAACATAGCCCAGAGTTTCTGGGAACTGAAGTTGAAAAGCAGAACTTTTCACAAGCGGCCCTTCTGGCTAGCAAACTTCGAAAGGCAAAACTAAATGCGCTTGACTGAATGTACCGCATTCTTATTATTTGCCACTGACTGTTCACAGAATCCGTTGATTAGAAAATCTGAGGTCAGCAAGGACAAAAAAACGACAAGACAAAAGTGTCTCAGAGGGAGAACGAAGACAACTCTTTAAACAGAGCTGTGAAAGGCAGCTATTATGGCCAGCAGAACACAATCTGCAGACTTGCACATTGCCTGTTTTTCTTCTTGAGGGCTTGTTCTAAAGCGAAGCAGGAGGGTTTCGATCCATGTTGGCTTGGTTCAATTTCATAGGTAGGAAAACATCGCTCCTTCAAATCAAGGAGAAATAACACGTTGCGTTCGTTTCAGGGAAGGTGTATTTTAAAAAATGCAATCTTTTGAGTTTAGTAAACTGACAAGTGAGACATGGAAGAAAATGTTCTGGCATGGTTTTTTGGCTTGCCATTCTTGCATGAAAGGCGGCATTCTGGGGCCTATTCACCCTACCCAAGTCTTCACTTGAGTCCTCACAAGACTTCACTTTGGAAGTCTCCAGCTTCTTTCCCCCCCTCTCTCTTTTTTAATTTCTGCAAAACATTGGGGTTCTCCCAAGTCCCCCCTTTCCCCCTACACCACTGTGCTGTACTGTTCTGCCTACATGAAAGAATAATGGAATCCTACAGTAACTGAATTGGAAGGGCTTTAAGGCCATCGGGTCCAACCCCCTGCTCAATACAAGAATCCAGATCAAACTAGATCTGACAGATGGTTGCCTCACTTTCTCTTGAATACCTCCAGCGTTGGAACAGGCACCACCTCCTGAGGTAATTGGTTTCATTGCCATCCTACTCTAATAGTTAAGAGGTTTTTCCTGATCTTCGACTGAAATCTGGCTGCCTGTAAACCGGAGCCCATTTTTATGTGTCCTGCATGTTGGGGTGATCAAGAACAGATCCTGCCCCTCCTCTATATGACAATCATTCAAGTATTTGAAAAGTACTATCATATCTCCCCTCAGTTGTCTTTTCTCAAGGCTAAGCATGTCCAGTTCTTTCAATCTTTCCTCACAAGGCTTGGTTTCCCGTTCCCTGATCAACCTTGGTGCCCTCCTCTAAACATGTTCCAGTTAGTTCATCCAAGTCCTTAATAAAATGTTGAAGACCACCACACCTAAGGCTGAGCCTTGTGGTACCTCACTTCTTGCCTCCTCCCAGTTTGAGGAGCCATTGATAAACACTCTCTGAGGATAATTCTGCAACTAGCTGCATATCCACCTGATAGTTGCTCTACTCAGCCCACACCTAGTTAGTTTGCTAGCCACGGAGCCCGTTGTGAAAAGCTTTGCTGAAGTCAAGGTATATTATGTCTACAGCATTCCCACATCTATGTGAGAGATGACTTGATCAAAAAAATGGGATAAAATTAATCTGACAGGACTTGCTCTTGACAAATCCATGTTGGCTTCTGGTTTCTACTTCATGGTTTTCAAGGTGCTTCCAAAGTGCCCACTTTGTAATCTGCTCCATAGTTTTCCCTGGGATTGATGTCAGGCTGACTGGGCTGTAATTCCCCGATTCCTCCGTTTTGACTCTTTTCAGGATAGGGACAATGTTAGACCTCCTCCCATCATCCGACCCTTTACCCATCCCTCTATGATTTCAAGAAAACAACAGACAGTGATTTTGAGTTCTTCAGCCAGTTCCTTGAATACTCTTGGATGCAATTCATCGGGCCCTGGAGATCTGAATTCATTCAAAGTTACGAGGTATTCCTTTGACTAGTTGTTTATCAATCTCCAGCTGTCCTCTCAACTTGGACTTCCCATTTGCCTGGAAAGTCATAGACTGCCTTTTGGGAGGGGGGATGGGGCTAAAATAAGAACTGAGCACCTCTATCTTTTCTTTGTCATCTCTTACCAAAACCTGGAGACTGCTTTTTTCCCCCATACTATAGAGAAAGGGAACCTATTTCAGCCTAAGAGTCCAATTCAATTTCAGAAGAGACCTTGGGGTTATATTCCCTTGGCAGGTGAGGCCAGAGGCAAAACTGGAGGAGCAGAAAATACCATCACAATTGATCTTAAAGTGCTTTCTCCCGTAGGAGAAGCTGCCGGATGAACGACAACGGAATCGAGGAAACCACAGGAGAAGCATTTCAACATTTTTGAACGGGGGCAAAAAAATGAAGGAAAATATTTCCAAAAGACAGTGTCATAAAGAGAAGTGTGTGGCTCCCCAAGAAACCCCAAAAGGTCAGATTCATCTCCTAGGTCTGAGGCTCTTGTCTATGGGCTAGACTGGGAGGAACATCCTTACCTGTCCCCATTGGCAAGAAAGTAAACACATATATTAAACAAACAACTTGTCAAAGCACTGTCGTATGGTATACTTCCCAGCTTGCTTCCTGTGATAGAAACTCTAAGAATTATACACTGTCAAGTTCATTCTGACTCTTTTCTAGGTAGATGTTCAGAAGTGGTTTCCCATTCCCTTCTTCTGGAAGCCTCCTGGGATTGTGCAGCTGGCCCAAGGCTACATGGGCTAGCATTTCTCCTGGGAGGCCCCCCTGGGGACTTGAACTCCCAACCTCTGGGTCCTCCTCGCACAACTGTCTGAACTATCCAGCCAGCCAGATAGAGAAACTCTAGCAGCCCTCGGATTACAGTGGGGAGGGGCAGACCGAACTATTCTGGGATACTTCTCAGAGAGTCGGGACACCATCTGGGCTCTTTGATAAAGGAGGGAAGAGGGTGGTGTGTGACCGGCTGATAACCCAAGGCTGCTGAGTCACGGCATGCAGCAGGTCGATCATAGCACACCTCGACGCCACTGCTGGCTTCCACTTCTGGAGGAAGGAAGGAAAAGGAAACTGACAGGGTAGCTCACAGCGGCGTGACGCTCAGCCTCGCAGCGGGACGCCTCTTCTTTACTAGAGAGAGCAGCTGCCGGACAAACCGCCACTGACTCAAGCGCTGGACTCCCAATCGGATTCATTATCGGGACGTACTGAGAGGTGGCCTTCATCAGCCACAGGCGGCCCGGAGGATGGCAACTCGGCTCTATAACCCCCAGAAGGAACCGGAGATCGAGCTGTTTGTCAAGGTGGGGGTCTCTTTGTACAACAGGGCAAATGTCTAGGGCCCTAGAACGAGCAGGAGGAGGGCTCCCCAAATGCATCAGGGCTGGCTGCCCACTTTTGGAAGTTGCATTCGAAAAGTGCAGGAAAGGGGATAAAACCTGGGCTTTATTATACCGTGCTAGTACTCATGGAGTACATAAGATACTACCGCCTACCAAAGCTTTGATGAAATGCTTGGGTGTGGTCATTGTCAGACATTGCGCAAGATTTTGGCGTTGCTTGGGTTTTATCCACCCTACAGTGGTAGACCAGATTGTCTGTGAGCATTCATGTCTGTTGAGTGGACACATAGGGGATGGGCAGGGGCCAGATTTCAGTGCACCCCTCCCTCGTTGAGTGGACACATAGGGGATGGGCAGGGAAGTGGGTCAGATTTCAGTATGTCCCTCTCTGAAGTGTGGATCCCGCAGAACTCACTTGCTTCTTGGTGTGCTAGCAGCTTGGAATGTGGTTAGTGGAGGGCTCTTGTTAAACATTTATGGTGATTGTCACATGTTAGTTATCACAGCTGTCACTGTGATAGGCACATCACAGAAAACATGGATGTTTTTGCAAGATAAGAGATGCACGGTGCTTATTTTCCTTCTATTTTACTTTTCAAGATACATTTCAGCCTCAGTCTGCTCCAGTGATGGGAATTCTGTGTCCTGCCTGATGTAGCTGGACTAAAACTCCCATCATACTGCATCACTGGCTTTATTTTCTGGGGCTGATGGTTATTGTAGCTCAACAACCTCTAAGGGGCTGCTGGTGTCCCACCTCTGCTGTAACTGTAATTATACGTTGTAGGAGGACTGAGACCTGCCATTACATTTTTCAATGTATCCGCATCTCTTAGCACGAAGTTTCTGTTCATTGTTCCCGCAATGCCCCCTGAAAGCTTAGAAAAGTTACTTATTTGGATTTTAACTCTTAGAATCACTTAGCCAGCATAGATAGAGGTCAAACTGGCCATTGGTTTGTGGAAGCAATAGCCCCAAAAGGTAATTTTTCCAAGTTATTTCCCCTTTCTGGGGTATTGCTGCGACAATCAGCTGTCTTTCAGCAATCAACAGATTCCTTGATAGAAGGTCTGAGTGCAGTGTATCATCTGGCCCTAAACCAGCCTTTTCTATGTCTATGATTAGTGCTTGGAGTGGGCGGGGGGACTGTCAGGGGTCAACGATGTGTACCCCTGTGACTTTGTGATGGAAGAATGGTAGGCTATTAAATAAATAAAGGCAGTCTTTGAATGTAGATTAATCCCAATAGCCAGGAGCAAGCTGTTCTACCTTGATACAGGTAGATCACCTTTTTGGATGACAGAATCTCCTAGCCAGTATGGCCACTAGCCCTGGTGGGTGCAGGATTGTGGGACTTAGGGTGCAGCCATGTCAGTTTTCCAAACTCTGAGCCCAATTCATTGCATGGCAGTGGTGATGCAGGAGGAGGAGGAGAAAGAAGGAAAAGGACATACAACAAGCGAAAAAGATGTTTCTCTTCGGAGAAGCTTTCCCTTAAGTGACTGGCTAACTGAGTGGGGTTTTTAAATGACTGCTTTGAATGTGTTTTAGTGTTGCATATGTTTGTTGTATGGCATTGGTGTGATCCTTTTTAGTATTTGTATACTCCCTGTTGTCAGCTTTTGCATACTGTCTTTTAATGACGTAAGCTGCCTTGGGTCTTTTTAAAGGCGAGAGACGGGATAGAAACATTTTAAATACATAATGACGTAAGCTGCCTTGGATCTTTTTAAAGGAGAGAGATGGGATAGAAATATTTTAAATACGTAAATAAAATAAATATCTCCAAAAAGACAGTAAAGTCTGGGAATGACCAATGTTCTTTTAAATCAGTTCTTTTAGTAAAACTTTATTTGTGCTGTTCAAGCTGCGTGGTGCTGAGTTCAATACCTGCGGGCTGGCCAAGCAAACGGTGTTTATAAGGGCCTGAATAGCTTGAGCTGCACCTATGTGTCAAACACACACACAAAGGTGCAGCTAAAGATTGGTGGCAGCAAAAGAGAGGGGTAAATAAGATAATTTATGAAAATATGTTTATTCCTGGGGTGACTGAGAGAGACCATTACCTAAATAGTCAAGTGACAAGACAGAGTGAGCTATGACATCAGTATCAGAGGGAAGGATGTGGCAGAGTAACATTTGTTTTTTCTCATTCATGCGTGCAAAAATCCTGAGTATAGCTCTGGTTTTCCCATTGCATTTCCTTATTTTTATGGAGAGAGAATTCTTATTTAAACCACCATCTCCCAGTACAAATCACCATAGTTACCACAACAAAACAAACAATTAGATTTTCCAAGTCCTGCCTAATATGTCACAGTCAGAAGGCTGATGGAAAATGACGGGGGCAAAGTGATTTACCGGAGATCCATCAAGAGTTTCAGACTTCTTGGTTTTTATTGATAGAAACAGCAAAGAAGAACTTTTGTTATCTGAACCAGGCCTTTAAATTCATTGATGTACAGGAAATGGGGCGTAGATGCTGGCCAGAATCCCATAGGTATTTTATGTTTGTGTAAGTGAGACTATTCAAGTCGTGGTATCTAACTGGTGTTAATTAATAACATGCTGGTTTTGTTTACTGATCACGCACCTGATGGTATGAGAGATATAGAAATAGGAACACAACCAGCATTTCATTAATTGGTGGCCATTTTTACCACGGCTTCATCATCTTAGAACTGCAGATAATTGAGCCCAGGCTCCTGTCAACAAGGCATAGTCTAAACACTGAACCATCTAGCAATCATCTTAGAACTGCAGAGCTGGGAAGGGCCCTAACGATAATTGAGCCCAGGCTCCTGTCAACGAGGCATAGTGAGGGATCAAACTGATACCTAAACACTGAACCATCTAGCTGTTCACTTATGTATGCATAAATTATCAACAGAAGTATAGCCAATCTATTTTAGTATAACCAATAATTAATTAATTAATCAATATTATTGATTGATTAGATTTATTTACCATCCATCTTCGACTTCAAGGTGGAGTGCCCTGTTATTTCTTTGTGCCTATAAATAAAATGGTTCTCAGGGTGTGACTAAGAATGTGGGAAATGCTCTGGAATTAGAACTGCCTGATTCACATTGTTTTCTGTTGACTGCATGGCATAAAAGTCAATGTGAATCAGCCTGGAATTCCCTCTACATCTGTCATTTTCCCTCCACGCCTGGGGCTTCTACTATTTTGGAATCAAATGCATTAGAATTGGTTCAGGCACTATGACCACTTGAGCAGATGGAGAGATGTTTGAAGCCATTCAAGTCTTTCTTTCTTTCTTTCTTTCTTGCTGGAGGTAGGAAGGGTCAGGGTGAGCAAGGAATTGGAGAGAGAGAGAGAGAGAGGAGGAAGTTTCAAGACAGCTTTGCTCTGGCTGTCCAGATTTGCAGTAAGATAGTTAAATCAGAGCTATCTTAAAACTTCCTCCTCTCTCTTCAGACTCCTCACCCATTTTTCCTTGGGTCTTTCAGCTGCCCTAGCATTATGACAACCAGTGGAAGGAAGGAGGGAAGGAAATGGGACTGGGAAGGGAAGATGATAGCAAACCCAGGCACCAGTTGTGTGAGAAGAGGATTCAAACAGTTAACAAGCTGCAAAGAAGGCTGATTCTGAGAAGAGGATTCAAACAGTTAACAAGCTGTAAAGAAGGCGGATTCCCTCCCCTCTCTCTGCTGACTTCTGTGTAGTTGGCTGAAGTGAATTTACCTGGGGATGTCCTCCTCACAGTAGATCCGTTCACATCTTTCTTGCTGTGTGGTTGCATCCTCCGTCATTCCTTCCTCATGGTATCCTCACTACAAGACTTGAAGTGGGTGAGGCTGAGAGAGAAAGAAACGGACTGGCCCACAGGCATACTGTGAACTTCAGTAATTTTTTTTTAGCCCTTGAAATCCTTGTCAACATTACATCCCATCCCACATGTCTGACATCTGTTTATGCCTAGTATACTGACACTATACTGTTGAGGACAGGACATTCTGAGGATTGTTCATTCATGCCTTCAGTCAAGGGGGACTTGATGGCCAATCGCAAGAACAACAACAACAACAAACACTATAACCAGAGGCATTTCAAGGCAAGAATCTCATTGGTTTTCTTTGGCCAAACCCATTTTGTGGTTTTACACTGATGTAAAACACAGTCAGCCCACAACAGGAAATACCTAGGCCAACTTTTAAACTTAGCTATTTCACCACCTAACACTGATTCCAGGGTTGCAGTAAAAACCACAATTACACATTTTGGGCTGTATTTTCCTTTGTCCCTTAAAACCAGGTCCTGTGAAATTGAGTGCCGAGAGAAGAAAACAAGCGATAATGTGGAATAGATAAAAGCAAAATAGAATGAAAAAGTAAAAAAAAAAAAGAGGCAAAATGTGGTGGCCCCTTAAAAACTAACTTCTCTATTTTTTGATGTGAGCTTTCATGGAACAAGCCCCACTTCATCAGACGAACACAGCTATTCCTTCTATTACTAGAAACATGTGAAAGTTTCTTTCCGCGTCATGACCCAGATTCCAAGAGGAAGTCAGACCAACCCTAGCGTTAGAGCAGAGTGAGGCAAATACCTTAGGCAGCAGGCTTTAGATATCCTGAAAGGGACATTAAATTCTTCATTTAATTAGTTATGATTGCACTTCTTCTGCAAGGGGTTGATTGGAAAGAAGTGCTTTCGGTAGAGGTTTTCAGCCTCGTGTGCCAACATGGTTCAACTAGTTTTTGAGAACTATGCTGCTAAATTTGGAGTTGGGGTGGGCGGGCTGGTATTTGGCTGAGAGCTAGAAGTTAAGAGTTTGATTCCCCCCTCTGTCCCTCGCTGACAGGGACTGGACTCCACAATCCATAGGGTCCCTTCCAGCTCTTCAGTTCTAAGACGATGATGATGGTTGTTGTTGTTGTTATTGTAGTGAAAATGTGTTGGGCAAATTCTGGAGAGTATTCAGGGAAAGCACAAAGTTTGATATCTGGGAAAAGTGGAGTCACTAGGGGAAATCTTTGATTCTTGAACTAATCGAAAGAAACAGAAAGGAAAGATAAAACGCTCCGTTGGTAACTATTATGGAAAACTTGAGCCTATATCCCTTCCACACCTTCCCTCTTGAGTCCTGCCGCCCCCGCTTCTGCCGGATGACACGCAAACCTCCTTTCCTCCTGGCTCAAAGCCCTGCCGTTCTTCTCTCCTGCCCGCCCCTCCGTCTTTCCAGCTTAGAGGCACTGGGTGTTCTTAAATATCTTTTATCTCACTTCCCGAGACTCTCACAATCGCACACCACAAACATAAAGATCACCACAATGGGCTGGCAAAGGACACAGAGGACTTTCATTATTGCTTTCACCCCTGATCTGGCTCCCGCCTAAGGAAACAGGAACAATGTGCTGTTTCATTTGAACATAAACAGAAAAACAAAATAGTGATGATGATGTTAGGTTTCCAGAGCTGTGGCATCTCTCAGGATTTGATGTAAGACAGGCTGAGACAAACCCCTGCTCCACCCTGGGCCTGTTTATAAGCACAATATACTGGCTAAGAGACCACAGCCCTCGTTAAAATCTCAACTTCCTTCTATAGCATCTCTCTCGCACACTCGCCTCTCTCGAACATTGACACCGATGTGGAAAGAAGTGTGCTGGCCTACCTTGTAAGATCGTCGTAAGAACTGTAATAAAGGAATGGACGCAAACTATGGGGGTGCATGTCTGATTTCACTGGAAAAGGTTACTTTGAAGGGAGTGATCTTCCGTAAAGGGACCCTTCGGTCTCCCCAGGAATTGCTGTTTTTTTGCAACCTCGCATGCTGCTTATAGAAGGCGTGACTGGGAGGGACCTTTCTGAGCTTGGATGACTGTCAATCTATCCAGCACTAACCAATTGTTCCCTACTCCCTCTGAATTTGGTGAGAGCCCTGCCTTTCTGCTCTGCTCCTCTTTCCCTCTCCTTAGTCTGAGGGAAGCAGTCAGCGAGCCTCTTGAGGCCTGTTGCTGAAAGTCATGTTTGTTAGTTTTGCTGTAGATCTGTTCAGTTGTAAGTAACTTTTTTTCTCTCTCCCACAAATATCTCAGAGTGAGTTATTGAGACTGTTAGTGCCAGTTAATGAGAAAAGCTGTGGTCTAATCTGGGGAATCTGTAGCTATTCGGCTCTGGAAGTCCCCTGCACTTCTGTTGCCCAGCTAGAGGAGTTTAACCAGAAATTTAAAACACTGCCACTGGAATCACTCCGGCTCAGCCCCCAAAAGTAGTAGCCCTAGAGCTAAACCGAAAAGGTCCATCTTGGGCACAAATCAGAGTCAGGCTGGAATGCATTTCCCTGCATGTCATGTGATGGCCAGGAAATGGCTTGCACTGGACCAAATTGCAAGGTGTGATCACACCCTGAGAATCAGGAATGGGGACGCTAGTCTTGGGATTCAATGTCAGGTCAGACTTAAGTCTCACCAGTGACCCACCTTGGACCCAACTCATTTCTTCAATGAAACGGATTTGTCTCGCAACCCGGAACCACACTTACCCCTCCCTCTCTCTTGTTTTGGAGAAAAAAAGCTGGGTTTTAATAAGAACTTGGACTCAGGACTGGGTATCAAAGACTGGCCAGCCTCCTTGCTCAAAATGGGCTTGGCAGCATGCGATCATTATAGCTGCATCTTGCGTTGCAGATCCTACATTGGGGGTGGGGAGGGGGGAGATGACAATTCCACCCCCCCAACTCTAAGAATGTCACAGAGAGGTGTCGATTTTCTCTGTGACATGAATGTGAGCATCTCCAGAGCGCATTTCCTGTGTTATATAAGGGGAGCTGCCATTTAGATTTGCTGCAGTGGTTTCAAGTCAGGGTTTTGACCTCTTCCTGGATCAATGATCTGTGTCCCTTCCGGTGTCTCTCGCAGGCTGCCTTGGATGGAGAAAACGTCGGAAATTGCCCCTTCTGTCAGAGCCTTTTCATGGTCCTGTGGCTGAAAGGTGTCCGATTCAATGTGACAACGGTGGATATGACAAGGTACAGAAAGGAGCCACCTTCTGCATCTTGCTGGCCTTAAGAGAGATGCAGAGCTTGGAAAATCTGACTTCTCAGATCGCAAATCCCCCAGAGACCATATCTAGTGGCCATATCTAGTGTCTGTGGGATTCTGGGTTATGAAATTAGTCAAGAGCCTAACCGTACATCGAGAGCCACTCATTCTAAATCCTTGCTCTGGAAGGAGGTCCTTCTCTATGTAAATACAGTGCTCAGTTAAGACTTGAGACAGTCCCGTTCAAACCCCTATCGAACCATGAAATTCGCCAACTGATTTGGGACCCAAAATGTTCTCTTTGGCTGACCTTCCTCACAGGGTGGTTGTGAGGCCCAAGGAGGGAGGAAGAATGCTATTTTAGTGCCTTGAACTCTCTGGAGCAAAGATAGGGCAAGCTTTCCACTTTTAATACAGTGGACCCTCGACTTACAGACGGCTCGACTTACAGACTTTTCGAGTTACAGACTTCTCTGGCTGCAAAATTTAGATTTGACTTGCAGCCAGAGAATCGACTTACAGACCAGAAAAAAACCAAAATGGAATAAAAATAGAATAAAAACCACTGGTTATGGGATTAATCGGTTTTCAGTGCATTGTAGGTCAATGGAGATTCGACTTGCAGACTTTTCGACTTGCAGCCACCTTTCCAATACGGATTAATTCCTTAAGTAGAGGGTCCACTGTACCCCTCTAGTCAGTATATATATAATATATGGGCCTCTCCATGCTGGGAACAGTTGTAGCTGGTGATTTCAGACAGAGCAGACAGATGACTATCTTGTTTCAGTCCAGTTTTGAATAAAGTATCTAGATTTTCAAAGCGGAAAGAAATTTAGGCTGAAACCAAGCTAAGGCCGGAAGGAGCAAAACTGACCTGTTTCTCCAACCCTAATTGATGCCACAGGAAACCGGACGAGCTGAAAGATCTCGCCCCTGGAATTAATCCTCCATTCCTGGTCTTCAACAAGGAGCTGAAAACAGACTTCCTGAAGATTGAAGACTTTCTGGAGCAGACCCTCACACCACCCAAGTACCTTATATCTTATATTCCTTTCACTTCCTTCCAACTTAAGATCGCTTTCAAAAAAAAAATTCACTTCTGTCTGCTCCTGAATACAGGAGGCACATTGGTCCAGAGGATGGCTGTGTTGTGAGAACAAAGCACTTTGTACATGTACAGAGGCACTTCCTTCTTAAAATTACTGAGCTCTGTCTATTTAGTAGCGAAGAGCTATATAGACTAGGTAGGTATTGAGCTCTGTCTATTTAGTAGCGAAGAGCTAGGTATAAGAATGAGACTTAAGAGATTCAGGTTTAAGTCCCAGCTGAGTCATAAAAATCATCTGGGCCATGAAATTCACTTCTATTTAATCGAAGCTACCTGTCAGGGCTGTTGTGAAGATACAGTGGGGGAGGGAGAGCCATGTGCACTACCTTGAACTTATTGGAAAAAAGATGAGACGTAAATAGAACAAGAGAAGTCCTGCCAATGATTCAGGCAATTCAGGCGGACGGATTTCATAGCATTGTAACACACTGATGAGGAAATCTACATCTGTGGAATTTCTGCCTGCTTTGCCACTCTTAAAGTTACAGGAGGCATGCTACCTGTCGGTTAAGGCCAAATAATGTGAATTGCTGGCACTCAGCAAGAGACAAAAAGTGGCTGTCATTGTCTGCAAAGATGTGAGTTTTGAACAGCAGTTGTTTATTTACTGTTGATCTGTTCGCAACAGTGAGTAATGAATTTTTTTTCTCCTACAAATGTCTCAGAGTGAGTTACTGAGATCTTAAGTGCCAGTTAATGAGAAAGGGGTGGACCATCTGGGGAACTTCTAGCTATTCTCCCCTGTCGATCTCTCCTCTATTGTACATCTGTTGTGTAGCAAAAGGAATTTTAGTAGCAATTCAAACTCTGGTGTGTGGTAGGAGTAGCGAGGTTTGTCCACATGCTCAGGCACTCCATAGCAGCATAAATTGAGAGATGAAGTGTGCGCATGAACCATAACCTCTTATTGGGAAAGGTGGGGGATCCATCCGCCCTTTGGCTTTTCAGGGAGAATGGGACAGCTTGTAAGAACCATCTGTTTCCCCACCAGGATCCGGGAGGAAGCCTATCTGGGCTGAAAGTTTAAAGAAACAATCAGAGGAAGCTCTCGGTCAAGGTAGGGAACAGATGGAGGGGGAGGGAAAGAGAGAAAAGCCTGATTTTGAGAGGGGGGGCAGCCTCAGACAAAGATGTGGCAAGCAGGGTTCCCTGATGTGGCTAGCAAGCATCCCAGCATTTGCCAGGAATGTCCAGGAATTCCAAAATACAGTACACCCTTGTTAAATCTCTCTCTTTTTTAGAGGCCGCAGTGGAGCCAAGAGGCCCACAGTGTTAAAAGAGCCAAGATGTGCTCATAAATTGGCAGCCTGTCTCTGAATTATCTGGATGCAGCTGCAGTAAACATGAGGCCGTTTAAAAGGCTTGGAAAAGAGCCACCGTTGCAGGAAATCTCTAGCGCAGGGGGGACAACACCAACGCTTTGCACCAGAAGGATCAGTAAAGAAAGCTGACTGTGTTAATGAACTGTCCAAGGGCTTTTAGAAATAAGATTCTAGTAATGGAAAAAATGGGCGCAGTGGCTCAATGACAGATTACTGACAGCATGTTGTCAATTAACAGGACAGAGCCGCCCACAATATGAAAGGCAAAATCTGAAAGAAGTACCTTTCGGACTATAATTCCCCAAACCTCAGCATGGTCAGAGGAGAGAGTGTTGGAGGAAAGAAACACATGACTTATCTTATTAGTTTTATCCACCTGTATAAAGAAAAAAAAATGTTCTTCTTTGGGTCAACTTATACAGTACGTCATCCCACTTTCTCTTGCAGAGTTTTGAATTTCTGGTTAAATTTCTCAAGCTGTGCAGCAGAAGTGCAGGGGTTTATGGAGCAGAATTAGCTTCAAGTTCCCCCCGATTACTCAACGCTTTCCTCCCCTCATAATTAACTGACTGAGTGGGGGGAAAGCAGAGCAGAGAGGTGGGGCTTTCTTTGAATCAAAAGTGAGGAAGGAATGATTGGTTACTTCTGGGTAGATTGACAGACACCCAACTTAGAAGTCCCTCCCAGCCGCAGCCCACATGCGAGGTTGCAAAAACTCCAGCTCCTTCTAATCCTTCTGTTAGAAAGTAAGTTAGGGGACAGGCTGTGAGTAGCCAAGGGTTCTTAGCAGTCATGGCTATCTATTTACTTGATTTTTAATATTTCTGTTCTTTCTTTCCTATGAAAAAAGGTTGGCCTCCTCCATTTTATTGTTGTGACACCCCTGTGGGATAATAGTTCAGACTGAAAGATTGTGATTCACCCCAGTTTCTCCCAGTGAATTTCCAAGTCAAGGAGAGATTTGAACCCAAGCCTCTTAGTTACCAATCTAGCACTCAACCACCATCACAGTGTTTCTGATTAAATGTGGATTTGGCTTCTCCCAGTTTACTCCAGTTTACTAATGGCTGCAGCTTACTAGATTTCCACTCACCGTGCGGCTTCATTTCTGAACCACCCCAGATGGAAGTGCCCTCCTGTGTAGATTGATTGGCAAACTATGGCTTCGCCCTCTTGGCTCATAGCCGGTGCCACCAGTCTTCGCTCTTCTGAGATGATTTTAAAAAGCCAGTCCCTCTTAGCATGTGCAAACAGGGCGGTGCATCTTTTCAACAGGCCAAGCAACTTGTGCCTTTCTAAATAACTTGCTGAGACTTTCCAGAGAGTTGCCCATCTCTGGGTGCCGCCTGAAGTCTCCTTGGTTCCCCAGGTTTCCAGGCCAATGGACAAATATCAGACCAAATGGTGCCAGAGGAGGTGAAAGCTTGATTTTATTGTGTGGGGATGGATTTAAAGCTGAGCAGCATCAATGCACCAACGCTGGATTTCCCCTGTATTTGGTGCACCTTTCTCTGGATTCCCTTGGTCCCTGATTCCATAGTCAGGTGGCCCAAAGCAGGTCTGGCCTTCCTGCCATGGCCTTGGCCTCACCCTGCACTTGTCTGTCTGTCTGTCTGTCTGTCTGTCTGTCTGTCTGTCTCTCTCTCTCTCTCTCTCTCTCTCTATCTATCTATCTCTCTATCTATCTATCTGTCTATCTATCTATCTATCTATCTATCATCTCTCTCTCTCTCTCTCTCT